TAAGAACTTCATGGTCTCTACAGCTTACTTTATTTTTTCTTTTAGAAAAGATTTCTTGAGCTGAAACAACATAGAATAAGCGAAATGCTAAGTAAAAAAAAAGGGGGAGGGGGGATTGTTATTTTCCTAGAAAAACACATGACATAGATTTACTAATTGAATTGTGCATATCATCATCATCATCCCTGAGGGAATCAACTTCAACTAGGGTTTTTTATTTTTTCTACCGCATAAAATGATTTTAAACAGGAAAAAAAAAAAAGCGATATGAAGAAAAAGAAAGATTGAAGGGGAAAACGAGGAAATAGAAAGCTTACTGGCTTGAAATTCATCGATGAAGGACATCTGCGGTTCAAGGTCTCAATTTCGCGGCCGATTTCGATGGAATTTTCGGTACCTTCCCGCCACTGGTACAACGGATTCAGAGCCCTAAAAATACAATTCGGTGAATGCTGAATGACACATTTAGCCTTCTGATTGCAACGGATTCAAACATAGCTGATTTCTAATTAAGCTTCCTCATACCATCCAAATATGGACTTTGCTTTGCGATTGAATGCTTCTCTATGTGGGATGTAGCTCAACTTTCCCAAGGTAATGTTTTATACCATATAAAACAGTAATGCTTTCATTTTTCTAATTTAAAAAAAATTATATTATTTAGAATCTATAAATTAAATCATTAAATAAATTATAAACCCCTTTATATTAGGGGTATTTTTATCTAATAGTTTCTATTTTATAATCTTAAACAATTCAAAGCATTTTCTTTATAATCTCTCTCTTCTCTCTCTTCTCTCTCTCCTCTAGAACTCTCCAGCATCTACTTCAAAACTTCTCTAGTTTTCATCTGCTTTTTGGGTGTTCAAAAGTCTCTAGGTTTCTCGAGCTTTTGATACTTGAGTAGCCAGAGGGCTTCTCAAGCATGATGAAGCCAATCAACCATGCTCCTATGTTCGGTGACTACTTTAGTTGGTCTATGGTTCCCTTTCTCTTTCTGTTTCTTGTTTCTTGTTTTGATTTGCTCAGATTTGATAGCCAACAAGCCAATCATGAAGAATTTAAGGGATGGCCACCGCTTGCTTTAATATTCCAGCCATGGCATCCTGAAGAACAAACGTAATTTATGCAAAGAGTAGATTGAAGAGTGTCCAATTCTATGGAACGGTCAACCAAAAGAATTTATAAAGTTCTATTTCCTTAGCATTGTTGGTGTAAAATGTTCACTGCTCTTCTTTTATCTGTCTTATGTTGAACTTGATCTACTTTTTTACTTTTCATTTTTTCTTTAGTCGTGCTTTATCTGTTTGTAACTTCTTATCAATGAGATCAAAATTTTTTATGTTGATGCCATGTGATTTTAATAAAATGATATGCTTTCCACTTAATTCAGAAAAAAAAAAAAAATCTTAAACAACTCAAATTATAAAATACAAGATTCTTCGTAATTACTGCTGTAAAAACAAATATAGCAATGCTAGGGGCACTCGCCTCCTGCACT